CTGGCAGGCTCAGTGGCTGAGCGTCAACCTAGGAACCAGGAGGTCAGGGTTCGAGTCCCCGTTCAGGGCACAGGCCCTGGGTTGTGGGCTCCGTCCCCAGTGGGGGGCGTGCAGGAGGCAGCCGGTTCATGATTCTCTCTCATCATGAATGTTTCTCTCTCTCTCCCTTCCTCTCTGAAATCCATAAAAATATATTTTTTAAAAATTTATGTATATAAAATATAAAACAAGAAAAAGAATAGAAAAAATGAAGAATAATAAATAAATAAATAAAAGAAACAAAAAAAAACAAAAAAAGAAAAAAAAACAAACAGAAAAAAAAATCTATGTATATAAAAGCCTAATCATGCAAATTGTCCCCTCAGGAGTTCGACCTGGAAACTGAGAGTTCAATGACTCGCTACGATGTCCGCTGACCAGCAAGGGGCGGTGGGGAATGAAGGGAGGCACCGTCCGACGGTCGGAAAGAAAGTTCTCGCCGGCAGTCGGAGGGCCCCAATCGCCCCTAATCGCTGGCAGGCCTAGGGACCCTCCCCGTGCACGAATTTCGTGCCCCGGGCCTCTAGTAATAATAATAATTAATAATAATAATAAAACAGGACAAGTGACTCTTACGATCCGTTTCTCTCCGTCCCATCAAGCCACCTCGTCGGCCTCGTACCGCGTTGAGTGGGTTGTGTTCTGTTTTTTGATTTTTGGTTTTTTGTTGTTTTTTTCTTCTTAGAAAAGTTTGACCCCCCGGCCAACCTCACGGTCGGCGGGAACGGATCCCATCACGTGATCAGGTGGGACAACCCCAGGCTGCGGTTTGAGGCCTCGAATAGCATCTTCTTTTATGAACTGGACGTCCAGCGAGAGGTGAGGACAGAAACCATGAGCCAAGGTCGCCCACAGGGCTCCCTCCATCTCTCCCCTTTGGAGTCGAATCATTGAATCCTCACCAATAGAATCTGTGATCCACGAAGTTGTTTGGTCATAAGAGCGCCATCCATTAATTTTTTTTTCTTTTACACAAGCATTTTAAATATATATCTATTTTTTTTATTGATTTCAGAGAGAAAGGGAGAGGGAGAGAGAGAGAGAGAGAGAGACGTCAACGAAGAGAGAGAATCATGGATCGGTCGTCTCCTGTACGCCCCCTACTGGGGAATCGAGCCCACAACCCGGGCATGTGCCCTTGAATGGGAATCAAACCGTGACCTCCTGGTTCAAGGGTTGATGCTCAACCACTGAGCCATGCTGGCCGGTCTAACAGCTTTTATTTTTATTTTTTAAAAATATATATTTGTATTGATTTCAGAGAGGAAGGGAGAGGGAGAGAGAGAGACGTCAATGAGGAGAGAGAATCATGGACCGGCCTCCTCCTGCACGCCCCTTACTGGGGGTCGAGCCCACAACCCAGGCATGTGCCCTTGACCAGGAATCGAACCGTGACCTCCTGGTTCATAGGTTAATGCTTAACCACTGAGCCACACTAGCCAGGGCCCAGAAGGCTTTTTCCCCTCATCTATTAAATCCCAAATATTTTCAGCTTAAAATAACCTTCAGACTAATGCTGAGGTTCTGGGCGGACTCCTGCATTTAAATCCATTATTGAAAACTCAGCCACTTACCATCTTTCCCATTTGCTATGGTTTTCCAGGGCAGTTCCTCCAAGCAAGACTCTGTAAGTATCTTTTCCCTTTTTAAAAAATATACTAGAGGCCCCGGTGCATGAATTCGTGCACCAGTGGGGGGGGTCCCTCGGCCTGGCCTGCGGGATCGGGCTGAAACCGGCTCCCCGACATCCCCCGAGGGGTCCCGGATGGCGAGAGGGCCCAGGCCAGGCCGAGGCA